TGGGATCAGGGTTTAGAGGTTTTGGACTTAAGGTTTAGAGTTTAGAAGTTTGGGGTTTAGGGTTTAGGGGTTTTGGGGTTTAGGAGTTTGGGGATTAGGGTTTAGGGTTTTTTTGATTCAGGGTTCAGGGGTCTTGGATTTAGGGGTTTAGGGTTTAGGGGTTTTTTTGGCTTTCGGGTTTAGGGGTTTGGGATTTAGGGTTTAGAGGTTGTTGGATTTAGGGTTTAGGGGTTAGGGGGTTTGTCTTTTGGGTTTAGGTTTTAGGGGTTTAGGGGTTTTGGATTTAGGGTTTAAGGTTTAGCGGTTTAGGGTTTAATGGTTTTGGGATTTGGGTTTAAGGGTTGTGGATTTAAGGTTAGGGAGCCACTTGGCTGGAGAAAAGTGGGCAAAAAATACGTCACGTATTTTTTGCTGAAGTAGCACAAGTGAAGGTTTGAATTGCAGTTTCGGGCACCCTGACCACTTCCAAGACGCTTATTTTCATGGATGTGTCTTCGAGAATCCCACGAACTCTCTAGATTTCAGGTGATCGGGCCTCCAAATCTTGACCTGAGACCCTGCAGATCTGGAGCTTCATGGGGCAACCACCATTTAATGTCATTTTAATGTCATTTCATTTTTAGGGTCGGGGTAAGCTCCAGGGGTATGTTGCGAAAGCATCTGAACGTGTCAAAGCGACACCAAAACGTTTGCTAAGCGACCCCCCGAAAAATGTTGGCCAAGCGAGCCCACGATGTCTGTTGGCGCTCTGATGTACAACCTCCCGCCCGGTGCAAGTGCTAACAATTACTCCTAATCTGATCTGAGAGATGAAATTTTGCATAGCATCGCGTAGTCATTTTACCTGGTATTTCAGGTGGGATGGTTTGAGAGGGATCGTTGCCCAGTAATCCCCAACACTCCCCAATCCCCCTTTGATACTCCCCAAGCCTGCATAAGGTTCCTGAGTACCTACCCCCTTTGGGCCTGCCCCCCTTAGGATTGTGGTAGCCATTTGTGGCTGGCCAATGCCGTCCCAGATTTTGTGACGGCGCGGCTAGAGTTGCTGGGCTGGCTGATTCTGCAAATGTGATCAAAACCCTGAAGCTTCAGGCCCGAAACCGTAGCGCAGACCTCCTTAGCGCAGACCACCCTGACTAAATATTCGATCGGAGAGCCGGGTTCGGTGCTCCCTGCACCCTAGCTGGTGCATTTAGCTTGACGAGAGAGAGGTCCGGTAGGTAAAAAGCCCAAGCCCAAACTCCCACGGCCTCAACATGAACACCTTGAACGCAAGACCCCATGCTAAACCCGTAAACCCTGTAGGTCCTCCACTGAAGAGCCCTTTATTTCGATGTTAAGCTCTGAAACACAAAGCCGAACTAAAGAGGCCTACTGCCCTGAACCCTCAACCCCTACACACAACTTCCTACACCCTCGGAGTCATGCAAACCTTCAACCACAAGACCGATCGCATCAAGGCCTGAACTTCCGCCCCCCAAACCATGCAGCGTCAGCTGTAAACCCTCAAGCCCAAGAACTCTAAGCTCAAGCTAGTGCAGCCCCAGGTCGTCAGACTCAAAGCCATCTGCCGTTGAATAGACCTCCAATCTCTTAAACGTGACAGTGCCAGCCTTCATTCCTCGAAGCCCTAAGCCCTGAACTCCAACCCCTGACTATGCCCAGAACTTGCAACTCTGAGCCTCGAACCCTAACCACGCAAGCCTTCAAGCAGTGAGTAGACTAACAGCTGTATCCGAACGACCAGACCACTAAACCGCGACCGTAGCTGAATGCTCTGGTGTTTGGGGCTTAGTTGCATTTTTGGCTCCTAAGACTCAAGACTCTTTTGACTTTGAATCTTGAGGGTCAAAAAGTGTAGGGGTGGTGGGAATAAGGATGTTGGCTTCTACGGTCTGGAGTCGTGATCGTGAGAGGAGTTTGAGGTTTAGGTCCGAGGTTCCTCGCAAGCAGGCTTTACAAAATGCACTCTAGAATCCCTGAGCTGTGGTCTGCAGCCGAAAATCAAAGAATGCCCGGAACTCACTCACAAAACCAAATGGCCTGTACAAGCCTGAACCCTCAGGTCTGTAAAAAGGCTACCACCCTAACACCGTCAAGCCCAACATCCCAGCCCTAAACCGAGCCCACCCCTGCGACGAATGGCAGACCTCATACCATCACCACCCGAGCAACTACGGTTAGTACTTGTACGACTAGGGCGCGTCCTCCTCCTACTTCTGTGATGATGTTATACTGCAAGTGATCATCTTGCTTCTAGGTGGTGCCTATCTTGTCTTGCCAGTGTTTGATGCTGGGCTTGTTGGTGTGCCTTGCCCTCTGATTTCTGTAACTTGATTTAGCCTTGTTTTCAAGCAAACACACACTGGCTAACACTTGGCAGCCGCCTGCAGCACACAAGAAAACACCGTTAGACGGTTAAAGCTTGCCGACCATGACTGCTGTAAGCATGCAGCTCTTCTTGCATCCCCGACATCAGTTTCCACGCGGAGCCTTGATCCACACCGCAGACTCTCATCAACAGCAACTTGCAAGTGCAGGTCTCACATCTGCAGCCAGGGACTGAACTGCATCCTCCCGGAGTTTGCAGGAGATCTTGGGCATGATGGGTAGTCAGATTTTCATTGAGTGGCCGAGTTTTGAGGAGGGAGCTGCCACAGTGATGCACTAGTCGACACAAGACTCGACTTGCAAGCACCGAGGAGCCTGCAGATGACAGCTCAGTCCAATTCTGAATGCCAAACCCACTGCCCGAAAAACGCCCCAACACTGCCTTGCAAAGCGCGCGCAGACAACTTCGCCAAGTCATCCGCGCACACTTTCCCTGGTAGACGCCCGCTGCACGCACCAGATTCACTTGGGTTGCCATTTCCGCGAGCTTGGCCCTTCACCAAGATTGTACTTCCGGGTCACCGCAAAGCCTGCAAGCAATGCCTGGGCAACATGTCCATGGCATGCACTTAAGGCTTCAAGAAACTTGCTGAGCTCCCGTCATACTCAGGAAATGACGCCTGCAAAAGCATGGATGAGAAAGCAACTCGAGCTGCGGGCCAATGTGTGCGTAGCCTTCTTGCCAGGACTTCTGGGCCTCACCTGTCATCACAATGTGGACTGCTAGTTAGCTACTTGCGAAGGCATCTTACCTTGATCTGGGATGAAGATGCAGGGCTCATGCTGATGAGTCAAACTTTTCAGTAGGCCTCCATTTTCGATCCATGCCTCATTAAGGAAACATGTCTTCCCAAGAGTAAATCGCAAGAGAAAACTCAGGTCTGAGCAATATCCTCTCCTTATGTCCTTTGCGCCGATGCTTTCGCCCGCATGACGGCAGACCTGCCTACAAAAACAAATGTTAAGGATAACCACGCAAAGCAAGCGAACCCTGTACAACAGTAACGGTTTTCAGTAACGTGTAACGCCTTGGCAATGGTAGCCAACGTGTCCGAGGCGTGCAGGGGCTCCCGCACAGGAGTGGCAACTGGCTCATGAAGAAGGCACTACAGTTTCTAAAGCAAACGCGAAAACCAGCCAAGCCTGGCATGGCACAGAAGGCTGCCAAGTTTTTCAGCAGCTCCAGAATTAGGGGCATATCACGCCGGTAATCAGCCTGGACATATCTACAACCTCACTGTTTTCCGGACTTTTGCTCATCGAAGCCTTGAGAAAGCACGACAAGGCTAAGCCAATGTCACCCGGAGTCAACCGATGCCTCAGCTTCTAGATGTACAAACAACCACTGACATCGCATCTGTCAAACTTGGACTCACACACCTCGTTTCGAACAGCTTCTGCAAAAGTGTCCCAAAGCATCAGGTCCCATCGCTTTTCCACACATGCCTACACAATCAAATGGATGGAACGGTTACAGTCAGTTAGGCAAGGGGCGCCCCATTCCGCATGCGCCGCAGCCTGGCCTTCAGCATTGTGCGGATCAAGGTTGTTGAAGGATCCTGCCGATGACGTCGCAGGATCTTGCCAATAGGGCCTTGCCATCAACGCAGACACTCGAGATGCAGCATCTCAGCATGTGTAGATAAGGCAACTCGCGCCTCGCGCCACGCCCGCAAGTTGACCTCGCTCTGCCTCACCTTGGAATCTATTTTTGGATAGCAACTTCAGGGACCAGCTGACAGCTCTTGGGTGCCCACGTTCGTGGAAAGCATTCACCAAATCAAATGGAACTTGATCAAGAATCTCAAGATGGCGTAGTCTGGAAACAGAATTGCCGCATGTCTTCTGGTGCCATGACTGTTGCTGGCAAAGCGCCTTTCTCCGCGAGTTCGAGGAAGTTGCAACAAACCAACAGGTGCATTGGCCTAGCAGCAAAGATGTTGTCTTGGAAGAAGTGCGGCGCAGCACGCAATTTGCAAGTGAAATGCCTTTGCAAGGTCTGTTCGAGGATCATCCGCCCCCCAGGATCCAGACATGCGAGAACCTGCACTTGACTCGGACAAATTTGTTGAAACGCTTTTACCCTGCGCAGAACACTGCAACTCCTGTAGGCCAGCATCGAGCAGTCCAGGAAGTCCAGGCCTCACAGACCAAAACTGTTGATAGCCTCGCTTTCGCTTGATCTTCTGCATCAAGGATGTGACCTTTTGCCCCAGACCTGCCCTTTTTATCGCGAGCATGATTGTTTCTCGACCTTGGAAGCAACACTCACAGCATAGCTTGAAAGAAAATCATGGAATTGCTGATATGACAAGCTGGGGACATGTTTGTCAGCGCCGTGTCGGTCATAATGATGTCCAGGCAGCAGAATTGAGTAGCTAGTCGCCACAATCTAGTGTCGAGTGCACTGAAGGGTGCATCTACGGTGTTCCACACGAATTCAGGAAGACTACAAGCGTCTCTGCGATTCGTCAACTGTGCCCAGCCCGGAGCCAGGAGATGGCTCTGATTGGAATAGAGAGGCAATTCTGAACGCAAAGGGCAAAGTTGAACACCATGGCAGGAGTGATGGGGCTGCCTGAACATGGCACCTTGATGGAAAGCACAGCTCGAGGATTGACCTGCCAGGCAGGACAAGATGTCATTGCTCGATACAGGCATGGATACAATCCTTCAGCAACAAACATAGCCGAGGCACACGTCCGAATAGTCTGGACCATATCGAAATCGTACATCCTGAACTTTTCAGTGCAACGTACCAAAGACCTGGATCAGCATTCAAACCCTGTAAGAAGCACGACGGATGTTCGTAGGGATCGATGGAAAATGCGCATGTGCTTAATTGAGTCACTGTACTTTGCTTGTGCAAAGACTCAACGGATAGTTGATGTCCTGCAAGCTGGTGATGTCGATGACACTTCTAGAGGTGAAAAGCATCTTCACCTGCACCGCGGATGAATATGGAGACATGTGACAAGCCTTGCCTACGAACTTGCATCTGTCCTGTGTCCCCCCAACTCGGACAACCGAATGCCAATGCTCCACCTGGCATCAAACTTGCAAGCCCAAAATCCAAAATCATTGTCGCTTCGGACGGCACCTCCACTTGGAAAGGCAATGGCGGCCTGCGACAGCATGCCAGAGCACCATCCCTAGACATGAAATACTGCCACTGCAGCTGAGCCCTGCTCGCAGTGAAAACTTCAGCAGGGCATGGGTCCAGCCTAAATCAGCCACAAACTTCTGGAGTCCCTTCTGATGCAAAAAGGTATGAGAGCGCTGCACGTCGCCCGCTACGCAACCAAAAACCATCAAAACCTCGGTAGCTTAGCTGTGGGAGCTTTCGCGCGCTTGCCCACGCAAGCAGGTTCAGGCCTGCTCTTCGATCTTTGCCGCTTCCACCAGGAAATAATTGCAATCGTCACCTCATCATGACGGCGAATGACATGTTGGCCTGACATCTGGCGTGCACCTGCTTTTGCATGTGCCTCGAGACACAAGTCTGGCATCATCATCAGCCATTGCCCTCTGATGCACCAGAGCAAACGTAGAGGCAGCTGCCAGTGCCAGTGATCCTTGTTCCTGAACCATTGACAGGACGGCTTCCGTCATGATAAACGAAACTGACTGAGGGACGGTCTGGAACCATTTCTTTGCAAACGCGGATGAACAGGCTGCATTCCGATGCGGCGCGGAATGCACATCACAGCTGCCACGATGTTATTCTTTAAGCCTGCTTCATATCATGGTTTTCCCTTTTATGGCGAACAATCATGCCGGCATCAAGTGGCATGATGCGCTACTGGGGATCAACTAGTCGTGCTGCAAGCTTTTTCTGTGTTACCTTGAAGCCGGCATCAAACAGAAAATCAATTGCAATTGCTGGAAACACGTGTGGCTTGTAATGGAAGGCAGCCTATGGTGAGCTGAATGTTGAGTATGAGAGCCCGCACGTGCATGGGGGCGAGGCTACACACATAATTGCGCTACAAAAAAAACTCAACTTGATGCGCGACTGCATGGCTGCAATCGACCTCATTCCAAACCTGCGGTATTTTTATCCATCCCACATTCCCCTCAATCCTGGCCCCGGACAGATGGTTGTTGATTTCAAGCACCGCCCCTTCCCATACCACCCCCGGCCGATGCTCCCCTGCTGGCTCTGAACTTGCCACATCTCTATGTTTCCAGATTTTGCAATGGGTACAACGTTAATCTCAAGATGTGTTTCAAGGCGTTGCTTCTGTGAATATGAGAAGGCACCGTCGAAGTAATGAATTCAGTTGCACTTTGCACAGCACAAAAATTGTCAATCACTTCCCAAATTTTCAACTTTAAACAAAAAATCCAAGGACCTAAACAATCTTGATGAGCACGTCTAAAAGGGCATGAGTGCTTTCGAAAGGGGCCACCTAATGCTGAAAGAGGGAGCTCTGAGGTCATGGGGGGTATGATCAAGCATCAAAGACTACGGATCCCCAATTTCCGCGATGGTTGTATTTCATCCGCTTCATTTTTTATACGGGATCTTTCGTAAAATTGAAATGCAATCTTAATTAAATTTGATTCGATTTTGGCTGGTTGTTTTTTGCTGGCTATAATACGGCATCTGGAAAGGCCATCAAAAATTGTTTTGTCGTGAAAACTCACAAAAATCTATCGGCTAAAAATGCGGACCTGTTTTCAGTTTTGGAATGCTCCGGCCATTTTTGTTTCTCCAATCAAATTTTACGTTTTGGCAAAATTAAGAACCGTCGAAAGGATTGGGGGGGTTTACGTTGTGATCCTCACAGCTGTCGTCGCTTTTAGCCCCTCAAACCCTTTCGGATTTTTGCGAAGGCTAAAACCCTCTACTCAGGTGGGCTCAGGCCTAAGCAGAGGCACCTTTTTCTCTCAAGCACTAAAGGGCTGCGGAGTCGCTTTACGGTTCCTACTTTAGTAGGGGAGTAGCCTAGCTCAAGCCCTAAAGATCTTTGGTTAAATCATCCACACAACTGTGAATGATTCGCACCCCCCTTCAAAGTCTTGAGGGCACAGGGTGTGCTTGCAGGGTTCAACACCCTGCGGTGTGGCCCGCAAAATGCGGTGCTCCCCGCACTGTGCGGGGCTGCCGCTAAAGCGGCGGTAGCGTCCCTTTAGGGATCTTTTTGGGTATGCCCATCCCTGCAGTGTCGGCAGACAGGCAATTCTGTCGTGGCATCGTACTGCACAGAGGCAGTGCTCCAACAAATGTGGAGTCCTGGGGCCATCGTACTGGACCCACATGTGCCTCAGTTAAAGATGTGTGCTGTGCGCCTTGTGGGCGCGAAGTACATCACACCTTGATCCCTCCATGAGATCTGCCTAGCACCCCTGTTTCTTCTTCTCATCCCCCCTTGGGGTGGCACAGGTGGTGCTGCTGCTGCTGCTGCAGCTTGCTGAGGGACCGGTTCTTGGTCTACTGGCCTGTGATCCCACAGCGGAGGTGCCCGCACTTGTGGTGCTGGGGCTTCTGCAGGTTCTACCTGCTCCTCCTCATCCTCAGTGGGATTTTCAGGTTCAGGAATTTCATCTTCCTGCTGAACTTCTGGTTGCTGAAGTTCTTGGGGTAGGATTTCTTCCTCCTCCTCCTCTGGCTCACCTTCAGGCTCTGGGCCTTCGGTGGCTCTAAAACACCGCAGCACCTTGCTATGCCCCAACATGTCCCTAAGAAGAGGAACAGTCCCGTCAGGAGTCCTAAGATCTGTCATAAATCGCTCACGAACAAACTTCTTGCCCATGACTTGAACTACAGCCTTCAGCGCTGGCAAAAACCAAGATTCATAATTCTCGAAGGCCGTTGTTATTTCTTCCACAGCATGGTGCAATACATGTAGAGCGCCCGGAACCTGTAGCCCTAAAGGAAATAGCCTTGGCAAAAACAAATGAGTCTCACCATTCTCCATTTCTCTTGTCTCCAAAAAGGGGCCAAGGGCATCCGGAACAGCCGCCTGGGGCTCATCTGCACTAGCTTGGAAGGCATCGGACATCTCTTGAGGCACATTAAAATTGGGCACAGAAGCTGTCTCAGTCCACGGAAACAAAGCAGTCAAATCAATGTCCATCATGTCAGCAAGGCTTGCTTCTGTACCAAAGTCGCTGGTAAGTGCCCGCACTGTACCCAAAAACTCTGCCACGACATGCCACCCCCCCACTTCAAGATACAATGTGTGAAGCAAGGCATGAACCTTGTGTGCA